CGCTCCAGATCTTCCAGGCTCTGCAATCGCCTGCACGCAGCTCGGTGGAGGTCGTCGTCGAGCTTCACCGGCAGGGTGATGCGAGGGCGGCCTCTCCACTTGTGGTCATCACATTGAAAGTAGCTGACCATGCTTAGGACGGCGGGGGCATCACTGGGAAGTCGAAGGATATGGCCAAATAGCCTCCACCGAGCTCTGGTGATGATGCGGCTGATCAGCTCTGCCTTGCACCTGTCGTAGAGTGCTGTTGTTGCGATCTTCTGCGGCCAGACAAAGCCGATCAGTGAACGGAGCTGGCCGCGGTGGAATGCGTCGAGTCCACCCTCGGCAGCTGCCGTGAGTCCCCATGTGCCGGCGTTGTATGCCAGCACTGGTAGTACAAACGCATTGTAGAGACGAAGCCTCAGTTCTTCTCCAACGGTACTGCGCCGTAAGGCATCACCTTACACACAACACAACAAACCGTCTCTAAACTCTAGCACATCTTGGAATGCACACTCCAACAGCCAACAGTGTTGGAAGGTTTTACTTAAAAGAATCAACTAAGGAGGGGAAGGAAGTGCTATTCAACTTACCAAGGAACACAATGATTACATTGCACTGAGTACATATCCCCAGTCTCTCCATTCAGGGCAAGAAACACGTCCAATGGAGTGGAGGACAGTGAGCCAGCCACTCCGTGATTCTGCACAAAGCCATCAGCGAAAAACCTGTACGCCTTGAGTGACTTGTACGCCTTCATTGCATGCATGTGAAACATTTTGCTGCGACCATACACAAGGACGATGTATGCCAATAAATTCATAAAATGTAAAATCTGCCAGAATGTTCTTCGTTGTTTTACTCCACACGTCAACAGAAGAAAAATTTGGGAAGAGACTTCAGCACTGCTTTCACTTCCTCGCTGATGCAATCGAGAGCAAGTTCCACGTCGCCGTCGTCGTCATTTTGGGACCCATTCCGAAGGCTTCCCAGTTTTGCCACGGCTAAAATTGGTTGCACCATATCGGATTTTTTCGTTGCAGCTGACAATCGAACTCTAGTGCCCTTGGCCAGCCTGTGAAGCTCCGACACAAGCAGGAAGGAGAGCTGTTTCTCCATTTGGGCAGAGCATTCTTATGAGCAGCCTTTGGCGGACAGTAGAGCGTCCTTCAAGTCGGCAGCCGTCTCAATCGACTTACGAACAAAACGAAAACTAAATAATACTTACAACCGTTGACATTTCATCTGACTAGCTGATCCGTACGCAGACCAGCATAGAAGCGCAAATACCCAGGGAAACTCTGACCGGAAGAGGGACGTAAAGTAGGATAGGTAGAACACAGAATGAATGCTGCAGCAGGCACCTATCAAACTGTCAACAACAACGCAAAAGTACCAACTGTCATTATTTGAAGTACAAAGAATCAGTACATTCCTGAAGTTTCCGAATGCTAATACCTACCAAACAAGTATTGCGTGCTTTCGAAACCATGGTGACGAAGCGCCATAAACGGCGAGGGCGAGGTCAGGGTGACATAGAGTAAATTCCAGGAGTCGTAAAATACCGGTATTTTACGACTCTCTTTTAAATACTTCATACAACTTGCCACTTTGATTTTCTATAGTTTATCACGAGATGACATTGTATATCCGGTGCATCACTAATTTCACCATACTAGCAGATTTGCATGTACTACATGTTGTTTGTTTGTTTGTTTGTATTCTTTTTTTAGGGTGGGAAGTCCAAAACAGGCCCTAGCCTAATAACAATGGTCCCACTAGTGAGGGAATGCTGTATATCTGTGCATAAGTATCAGTGAGTGTACAAGTCATGTACAAGTCATGAACATGTACGTGTACATGTACATGTACACGTACATGTACATGTATGACTGACACATGGCACATGACTGCGCATGAAAATGATGTGTACACTACTGTCACTAGCCGTTGGCGGACTATGCTCGGCCAATCGTCAAAATCTCAAATTATGCTTTTGATTATGCCACAATTACATGTATGCCAACTAGGCCTCGACCAAATATGCTTGCGCATATTTCCGCATATTTTCTGAGACAGTTCATATATGGCATATTGAGCAACAAAGGGAATATTGGAATGAAGCCAGCATATAATTCAAATATTCTGAAGAAAATAAGGACAAAACATTCATATTATGGACAAAATACGTTCAGAAATGCCTTTTATGGATGAATTTGGAATGGTTGAGGCGTTTGCTACATTTCCTCATGGATGCACACTATCGCTACGGTTGCTGGGGACACACACAAGCCATACTATTCCGCACGTGTTTTGATTTGCACCATAAGCATGATAGCCGTGAAGCCAATGAATATTGCAAGGTTGTAATTTTACTGAAATGATCTACACTTTCTGCTTATGTCGAGCATATTTTGGCATGTTTTGGCATATCTTTTTGCATATCTTGCTAAGCCTTTGGCATATTACGGACGTTTTCCCTGATATGCGACGAGCATAATATGCTTTTTTTTAGCATATTTGGTCGAGGCCTAATGCCAACAAATATTCTGAATTATGCTGAATTATGCTCGGTTCTTCCGGTGCCATACATTGACGACGTCGGTTAATGTTTGCGATAAGGTCCAAAGCGCACAATTATACAGCAAGGCAGGCAATATCAGGCAGGAAACATAAACAGCCTGGAATTCAGGTTGTGGCGTTTCCATGGAATGCTTGCAAATGCCCGATTTGCAGCAGACACTCTGGCTGGTATGTCTTCTGCTGTGCCTAGCATACTCCCCAGCAGCTTCACCCATCATTGGTATCACGTACCCACAACGAATCTCGAACACAGCGCTGTATGCCAGAACCGAGCAGACCCCACTATCCCAAGTCTGCAGGCAACGGAGACTGCTGTGGTTCGGCCATGTAGTGAGGGAAGGCGAAGAATCGTCCTCTTTCCAAGCCTTCCTAATGTAAATCAACACAACAGACATACGACGACCCCGAGGACGACCACGTCTGAGACGGATCGACGTTGTCAAGAAAGACTTACAATGCATTAATCTGTCGCTTCTGGATGCTGTGCAATCTGCTTCTGATAGAGCTGCTTGGCTCGAAATTGTTAACAGATGCGTTGACCTCATGCAATGAGTGAAATGCGAACTGTCATTATTATTATTATTATCATTATGCTCGGTTCCACTATGTATTCACGCTGTACATAGAGGATTGAGAAACCACGCATACACACACGGCCATGCCCTATTAAAGCATATTTTTTTTCTAAACCGAAAGATTATGCCGACCTTACACGTTGGAATCCGTATATTATGCCGGAGCATAATTTTTTGACGAAATCCCAAGATTATGCCAAATATTATGCCGGTATAATCCGCCAAGGGCTAGTGTACACACTGGAAAAAGCATGCTGAAGTTGCATGCATGCTCCGCCGCGGAGTGTGTAGCTTTGACAATGATACATGTACATGTGTCTGCTCAACAGCATACAGAGACACCTGTCAAAAATCGAGAAATTTCGCTCAGCCACATCTGCTGCCAGATGCATCCAACACTGGTTCAGTTTTGGGAAGAAGTGGACTTTATTGGAGGAGCATTTGTTTTGTCATCATCACTCTAGTCTCGATCATTACTAGGTGCATGTACATGTACATTAGGCCTTGACGGATTATGCTAGCATAATTTTTCGCATAATTCCTACCAAAATCGAATAATCGCATAATTCGAGGCAAATTGCATACGAATCGCATAAAATTGGAATATACTGCCTGCTCCCATCAAATTCCATACAGTTGTACATGTTCTACAAGTACAAGTACAAGTAGATGCACTAGGAAGTTGTAGGTTTACGACTCCCTTGATAACATGTCCAGTCCGCTACAATCGGTGATGGTCGTAGCTAGGTCGGACAGTGTGTTCACCCCGTTGAACTTTTGCTGCTACAGTACAACGCCCTCTACAAAAAAATTCCCCTGTTATTTTGCACAGAACCACTATGCATTAGCAGCGTATGTGAGCATAATGCGGCATAATATGATACTTTTTAGCATAAAAATAGCATATTTCTGCATTTTTTTCAGCAATGCGAAAAGCATAATTTCACGAAAATATTAGCATAATCCGTCAAGGCCTAATGTACATGTACATGTACATGTACATGCGATATTTCCCTGTAAATTTGGTGTGGTTTGCTTCCTGAAGCCCTCGCGTAATACTAAGTACATGTATATCATTAGTAGACATTACACCCACTTAACTTTACAGTATAAACGATACATGTACTCACTGTATACTGCGTCCCGTACATGTACATGTATGCCACCAAGGACACGGATCCAGACGTTCCGCACTTCGGAGTTCGGACTGCGCTGGGTTACAGTCACGTGACGATTGTACTAAAGTAGCTCAAGTACACCCTCAAAACGCGCAGTGTCTTTGCGTGGGTGTCGGCGCATTTCACTGTATGTAGTAAAGTGGTTCGCTCATGCCGGGCACAGCATTAGCTAGCACAGTACACGCTCCCTGCTCCTGACCTAAGCCAGCGCGCGCGGGTCTCGTACTCAGGACATTGTGAATGTGATTTGCAGGCAAGCCCACAAGGCACAACCACTCGGTCAAAGCGCTGGTCTTGGGGCGAGTGTGTGGAATCTATCATTCAACCTAAAACTACATAACAACATTAGGTAGGAGCAGGCTCGAGAGGATGCGAGCGAAGAGCTTTGAAATTCCTAGGTTCAAAAAGTAGGTAGCTTGTTACGTCAGCCCGTACTCGTGGCTCCACGCCAGGCGGAGGAGGGGTTTAGCGGAGAATGTTTCTTGCTGCACAGCAGAAGTGTCGTGCGTTGGTGCCACTGTGCATTGGCCTCACGTTGCTGCTTTTCTTCAGCTCTAATCCGTTTTCAACGAGGCAATCCAGTCGAGTCCAAGACGAAAACCGAGTTAGGGAACATCCTGAAGAGGAAAAGATCAGCCCGCAGGTACAGAAAGTGCTGAACGTTCGCGTACTATGCTGGGTAATGACTGGAAGTAGTACGATCGCCAGGAAAGGTCCGGCAATCTTGGCGACCTGGGGCAGGCGATGCGACAGACTCCTGTTCATGACTAGTGGCGAAGACAGGACAAACCTTTCAGGTCGAGTATCGCTGCCGGGTGTGACAGAGGGACGTCCTGCTCTGGTGGCGAAGTCTCGCGAAGCGTGGAAGTACGTGCACGAGAAGTACCGATGGTCATATGACTGGTTCTATAAGTGTGATGACGACACCTATACGGTGGTGGAGAATCTCAAGTTCATGCTGTACACAACAAATACCACGCAGCCACGTTACTTGGGCAAACATCTACAGAGTGGAGGTATTGAGTGGCTATCTGGCGGTGCTGGTTATGTCCTCAACAGAGCAGCCCTGGGCAAACTGAACGAGCAAATTGGAAAAGGCTGTATGACGAACGCTCGTATAGAGAACGAGGACATGCTGGTATCTATCTGCCTGAAATCAGCTGGAGTCGCCATCTCAGACAGCCGGGACGCAGCAAGGAGCCGGTTCTTGCCCCTCAGTCCAGAGCTGCACCTCACACCTGGCGCTGTGGCCAGTTCTGCGTACAAATGGGTGCTGCAGTACTCTGTGGGCAAGTCCGAGGAAAACGAGGGACCCGGCTGCTGCTCTGAACTGGCGGTTTCGTTTCATTATATTTCACCGCAATCGCAGTATGCTCTAGACTATCTTATCTATAAGCTGCACACGTTTGGCGCATGGTCCAGCGATCTTCGGCGACTCGAAAATAGCTAGCAGTATCCAGAGTCACGCCCCCCCCCCCCCCTCACACCCCCCCCCCCCCCCCCCCACACACACACACCCACACACCCACACACACACGTACAACAGACGTTACTTGCTAGTAGTTCACCTGCATCTAGAAACATATTTTAAAACGTGGCTGTTTCAACTTCGGGTCTTCTTGCCAGCACCGCACACCACAGGCCAGTATTTTACTAGTACAATGGGTTTTTGTTACGTGGGATGACCTGAACTCCTACTAGTCCTAGGGCTGATCACATTGATCGCAAGTAGAATAACAATCTTAGTACCTTTTGTTGCGTGTGTGTGTGTCTGTCTGTGTGTGTGTCTGTGTGCGTGTGTGTTTGTGTGTGTGTGTGTGTGTGTCTGTGTGTGTCTGTGTGTCTGTGTGTCTGTGCACGAAGGGCATGGCGGTGGGTCAACGAAAATCAGTTGATCCCGTTCAACTCGGTGGTAACAGCAGGATTGACATGGTGGACGGGTTCCGGTACCTTGGCAGTGTGCTCTCTGCTGACGGAACGGTGGATGCGGACCTCGCTGCTCGTTTGGCGTATGCGTCCAGGCCGTTCGGCGTGCTCTGGTCTCCGATATTTCAGTGCGTACATCTCTCGGTCCACACCAAGCGGCTGGTGTATCGTGCTATTGTCCTTTCTGCTCTTCTCTACGGTGCGGAGACATGGCCCATCAAAGTGGGTCATATTCACCGATTCAACACCTTTCACCAACAGTGTATTCGCACAATTCTCGGTATCTCTCGTCGTGAGCAATGGGAGGAGAGATTGTCGTCAGCATCGCTGAGTGAGCTGGCAGAGGTGGAGGAGAGGTTGCCGTCGGCCTCGCTGAGTGAGCTGGCAGGGGTGGACGCCGACATGGCCGATGTGATCATGAAGTAGCGCTTGCGGTGGCTTGGTCATTTTGCACGGATGAAGGAGACCCGGCTACCCAAGCAGATGCTGTTCGGCGAACTGCCCTGCAAACGCCCGCAACATGGTCCCAAGAAGCGCTGGCGGGATGGTGTGTCCTCGGACTTTACTGTCATCGGTTTGTCTGAAGCGGACTGGTATGACACAGCGCAGGAGAGATCCACCTCGTTTCAGTGTTGTCGACAGAGGGTCGAGAAGGAAGCCCCAGACATCCCGTGCCCCAACTACCGCTGTGACAGAGTGTTCCGTCGTCCTGGTGACCTCAAGCGGCATGCGCCATACTGCAGATTTCGAGTTTAGAACCTCAGCGTGAGGAAGCCATCGCTATCATTGCTACGGCAATGGGCGTTCAAGGTTCAAGGTCAAGGTGTGTGTGTGTGTGTGTGTGTGTGTGTGCGTGCACTACCGTATTTAGGCATGTGGTGTTATGGACTGGCCTGTCCATGTACACGTACATGTATGATGCTCTCAGGTCAATCATTTGCATAATTTCAGCATACCGCAATGTAGCATAATAACTGGCATAATTTGGGCATAATGGAAAGCAAAATTCAGCAATTTACGGAGCATAATCCGCCAAGGGCTGGCTTTTGCATTTCCAACACAAAAAAGAGAACATCAGATTCGACAGCATTTTACTAACATAATGACTGTCATTAATGGGCTAGATGTTAGCAAGTGGGCCTACAATGTACATGTACATGTAGATACAAGATTGTATTGGTGTGTCTGTCTGCAGTTTGGGAGTCATTGTGTTTTTTCGTGTTTGTGTTTTTCTACAAAGAACACAAACCCGGCTCGAGACGAAAATAAGAACAAGAAAGGTAACAAAGTTGCATGCAGGGAGAACGAAGAAACGACTAGAACACAGAAGTTGAGGGTTGACAGAACAAACAACTATTGAGTCGGGGATGACTACTAGTATCCACTAGCGCAGCTGTGTAGGTGTGTAGGTGGGGCGTTGTGGACTCCTCTGACCAGAGGTCTCGGTATCCTTGCACACAACGCGCACCAGGGGGGGGGGGGGGTAAAAAAGAAAGAAAGAAGAAAGCGTTAGGCCATCAGGTAGTATGCTAGTCTGTGGTATACACGTCGACAGCAGTCCCACAAGTTTGCTCGAGGAGGTACTTGTACACTGCTACTTTGAAGCCTTGCAGCGCTGCCTTGGATGGGGGAGCGTTCAGGATGGCAGAGGGTAGAGCATTCCATGTTGTTAGTAGGTCGAACGAGAAGGATCGGTGTAGGATGGCAGGACCTGTGGCGGGGAGTGGGTTTGACAACTGGAAGGCATGGGAGTGTTTCACTTGATGTTAGTGGCGTGTTCTGGGGCGGGCGGGCTCAGGGGAGAGCAGGTGGCAGCATGTCTGTCAGCTGGGCTGGACCGGAAATGTAGTGCAGCTTGAACAGGTAGCACACCCCGAGACTTGCCGACGCACTAATAAGCTTGGGAGTATGGTCCCAGCGCCAATGCTGCGCATGCACCGTTGCTGGATGCGGTCAAGATTCGCAAGGTTGGACCGGGCTGCGCCTTGCCAGACTAGGGGAGCATATTCCATGGTTGGGCGGATGAAGCCTTTGTATACGCTGAGGCGACCATTGCGATCGAGTACTGGGCACACCTTCCTGAAGAAGCCAAGGCGCTGGCTGGCTCTGACTTCAACCTGGTGGAGATGGCTCCGGAACAGCAGTTTGCGGTCGAAGGTCACACCAAAAAGCTTAACGGGGACGTTAAGGCTGAAATCAAAATTTCACCAGTTGTAGTCTTCGGGGTGCTGAGTCGAATGGCCTTGGTCCGAGAAAGCTGAGACGCTCCCTTCCTGCTTTTATCCCAATCGAACTCGCGCACTTCCACCGAAACTGGGTGACTGCGCCCTACTAGATGGGGATTTGTATGCAAAATGTAACTAAAAGCACCATTTCGTTCTTATAAAAGCACGGATGACCGCGATTGGCCCATATGTTGTACTCTTTTGGACGCTGGGTCGACTGGTTTTGTTCGAAAAGGCTGCGATGCAGCGTTCTTCCTTTATTCCCAATCGAACATGGTTGAACAAGCGGTCACGTGCTCCTGGGTGCCCAAATCACCTGGTCGCCACGCCAGCAGGCGACAACTTTCACACCAATACAAGGTTCAACTCGAGTTCAATTCGAGTGACAGGACTGCACCCAAAAAAGGTCAAACAGGCTAGTAAGTTGTACCCTGCAGGCACGGTGACCAGGAAACTGGTGTACGCAGGAGCACGTGACCACTTGTTCAACCGTGTTCGATTGGGAATAAAGGAGGAACGCTGCATCGCAGCCTTTTCGGACCAAATCCAGTCGACTCAGCGTCCAAAAGACTACAACATATGGGCCAATCGCGGTCATCCGTGCTTTTATAAGAACGACATGGCGCTTTTAGTGACATTTTGCATACAAATCCCCATCTAGTAGGGCGCAGTCACCCAGTTTTGGTGGAAATGCGCGAGTTCGATTGGGATTAAAGTAGAAAGGGAGCGTCTCAGCTTCCTCGGACCACGACCATTCGACTCAGCACTCCGAAGACTACAACTGGTGAAATTTTGATTTAAGCTTCCCCCTTAACATCGGTTTCCTCTCTGATCACGGTACCATCGAAGCTGAGAGAAGAGGGTGGGAGGGGTGTTGATCGTCGGGTCATCGACATTCCCTGGCACTTTGTCGGCTCCAACTGGACCTTCCATCTCGATCTCACAGCTTGGAGCTCATCGAGGGAGGCTTGCAGTGAGTTAAAAGTGGCGGGGGACACGTCATCGGCACGGATCAGGTAGTACAGTGTTGTGTCGTCTGCGTACGACGCTAGCTGGCACTCAGGGGAGACACCATCAGAGATGTCGTTGACATAATAATATAATAAGGAAGAGCGTTGGTCATAAGATGCTACCTTGCGGAACACCGGCTTGGATTGGGAAGTGCGAGGAGGTCTGACCACCAACAACAGCCCCTATTTTCCTTTCCTGAAGGTAGGAGCGAAGCCAAGACAGAACTGACCCGCCAATACCGGACATTTCAGCTGTATGCAGTATACCAGTGTGCGAAACTTTATCGAAAGCACCAGCTATGTCGACTGCAACAAGCCGAGCGATTCCATTGCGACCCACTATGCCGGACCACTCATGATGGAGGGCAGTGAGGAGGTCGGCAGTTCCAAGTCCACGGCGGAAGCCAAACTGCCTGGGAGATAGGACCATTATGACGTTCAAGGTGATTGACAATTTGCCTGTTGATGATAGTCTCCATAATCTTTGACAAAATGCTCAGAAGGGAAACAGGTCGGTAATGTCTTACTGCTGCTTTGGAAGCGCGCTTGTGGATAGGCACGACGTGTGCCGTCTTCCAGGGGTCAGGATGATGCGAGCAGCGTAGGCAGAGGGCAAAAAGCTTAGTCAGAGGGGGTGCAAGCTCTTTCGCACACGTCCACTTCTCGCTTGGCTGAGGGATTACCTGACTGATCGTCACTTGAGGGTTGCAGTTGGAGGTGAACTTTCCAGTCCGTACCCGACCAAAGCTGGCGTGCCGCAGGGCAGTATCCTTGGCCCCACCCTGTACATCCTCTACACCAATGATGGCGAGGACCACCTCCCACCAGGTATGGAGCTAGCAGCCTACGCTGACGACACCACTCTCTTCCACTGCCTCACATCAAGAGCTGACATTGACTGTGGCTCCGAGCTCCTCCAGCAGGGCATTGATGCGTTTTCCCGTTGGGGACATAAGTGGAGGATCAAATTTGAGCCCTCCAAGACGCAGGCTATGTCTATAGGCCACCATCGCCAGCCCTGGGAGCTCCCTCGAGCAACATTTGACGGCACACCGGTCAGTGAAGAGAGTCGGCTGAAACTCCTGGGAGTCACCTTTGACGACACCCTGAGCTACTCCTTCCACCTCCGCTCCCTAGCTTCCCGTGCTAACCAGCGGATTGGCTTCCTGAAGCGAGCGTCTCCCATTCTGGACGCCGAGAGCCGCCAACGCGTCTACAACGGCTTTGTGCGACCCACACTCGAGTATTGCCCCTTAGTGTGGATGGGCTCACCCTCGTCCCATCTTAAGAAGCTGGACCAGATCCAGCGAAGGGCCCTCCACATCATCGGAGCAGGTACTTGGCTCCCTAGCCTGGCACTCCGTCGCCTGGTAGCTGCACTTGCCTATACCTACAAGCTCTGCTATCTAGATGCATCCAGCCCTCTGAAGCAGATGCTGCCTAAACCAGCCACTCACCGTGCCCCCGAGACAAGACCTACCCGTCAGTCTCTCCAGCTGCAGGATTCCCATCCATACCAGATGACAACTGACCTGCCTGCCAACACCCGGAATAGCTGTCTCCAAGGATTCCCTGCTTGCACCGTTGCAACATGGAATGCCCTGCCACCAGACCTGTTCCACCACCCACCCGCCCAGCCTCACATGCAAAGCTTTAAGAAAAAGGTGTACCGTCACCTTCTTGCTCAGGACTGGCTCTCTGCTACTGATGCACTTTGAATCTGCTCGCCAACGCTTTCCCTGTTCTTATTAGTGTTCAGCTGCTTACCTTATAACCCTGCTGCCATCATCACCAATATTCTGATTCTCATGCACATATCCCAGAACCTGCTATCCTTCGCAGTCCCCATCACCAAGAGCACTGTGCTCTTCTATCTCCCAGCTCTCTCTCTCTCTCTCTCTCTCTCTCTCTCTCTCTCTCGCTCTCACTCTCTCTCTCTCTCTCTCGCTCTCTCGCTCTCTCGCTCTCTCGCTCTCTCGCTCTCTCGCTCTCTCTCTCTCTCTCTCTCTCTCTCTCTCTCTCTCTCTCTCTCTCTCTCTCTCTCTCTCTCTCTCTCTCTCTCTCTCTCTCTCTCTCTCTCTCTCTCTCTCTCTCTCTCTCTCTCTCTCTCTCGCTCTCTCTCTCTCGCCCTCGCTCTCTCGCTCTCTCGCTCTCTCTCTCTCTCTCTCTCTCTCTCTCTCTCTCTCTCTCTCTCTCTCTCTCTCTCTCTCTCTCTCTCTCTCTCTCTCTCTCTCTCTCTCTCTCTCTCTCTCTTCTTCTCTTCTTCCCCCCCCCATCTCCCGATAATTATTAGCCCCCGTTTTCTTTCGACGCGTTTGCTGTGCAGTGAAGCCGAGACCCTAGGTCGGTGGAGCACATCAGACCCCGTCACCACGTCCACGATTCATGCCTGCGATGCTGCACCGCTGCTTTGCATGTCATGATTGGAAGCTGTGGCCTTAGTAAAAAAAAAAAAAAAAAAAAAAAAAAAAACACTCTGGAAGAACCCGTGCTGGGAGATTATCTGGACCAGTGGCTTTGTTGACTGGGAGCTTGCGGAGCTCCCTCTGAACCTCAGCAGTGCGAATTAGGCCTTGGCGGATAATGCCGGCAGAAAAATTGGCAGAATTCGGTACTTTTTCTGGTAAGTTTCATGCATGTTTGGTATGTGGATAAAGAAATGGAGCAGAATTCGAGGAATTGCCCGCCATAAGGTTTGTATGACTCTGCCAATTTCACTGCTTTTCGAGCAGAATCTGCCACCTTTTCGAGCAGAATCCGCCAAGGGCTAGTGCGAAAGCGGATCATGCCAATTGTTGCTGGTGGGTTGTGTTGCTTGGCTCTTGGAATGCTGGACGGGTCAATGTCATTGTCTCCAAGACTGCATTTTTGTGAGAAGAAATTCCCAAAACATTCCAACTTCTCCTTCGCGGTGCGGCGCTCTCTGCTGTTCTCATCAATGAGTGTGGGAATATCAGACTGGTGTCCAAAGCCACCTGCACGCTTAATGGTACTCCACCTTTCCTTGTCTTTGAGACAGCCAGTTGTAAGCTTAGTGCGAAGCACCCTATCTCTGTAGCGCCCCACCATAAACACCTTGGCATTGTCATAGATTCCGCCCTCTCCTGGTCTCACCATGCTGATCATGTGTCGTCCAAAGTATGCCGATCTGTCGGCATAATGTCAAGTCACTTGTCCCATTTGCCCAAAAATTGCCGGATTAATTTTTATAAATCATACATTCTTCCCCTATTCACGTACGGCTTCCCTGCCTGGTCCACCATTAACAAAACCCACATAGGTAAATTAGAAATTCTCCATCGCCGTATACTGCGAATCATATTTCGTACTGATCGTTATACATGTATCTCAAATCTAGACTTGTATGCTGCTGCATCCACTACCACTCTGCAACATTACCTTGATGCTTCCAAGTGCACCCTGGCACATTCAATTTTCCTTGGCCAGCACCCTGCTCATTTACAGTCCCGTAATTGGTTCAATTCAGGTGGCACCACCCGAAGCTGCGTTCGTCTCCCCCTAGCTAGGTCTACCCTATTCGTAAATTCCCCTTTCTTTTCCTCCTACTCCACGTGGCTCCAACTGCCTCCCAGTGTTAGGCAAGCTCCAGATATGCCCAAATTCCGTACCCTCGTCAGACAGCACTTCAGTATCTCCCAGTAAACAAAGTCACAGTCACCACTTCCGCTGCATAGCTCGCTGAGCATCCCATTGCTTTGTAAGTTGCTAATCCCTTCCCACTTTGTGTACGTGCTCTTCATTTTCTTTTTTCTCTTCTTCCGTGGTTGGTCTCACCCTCTCCTCAATTCAATTGGCTGTCTTGACATGCCACGAGGTGCAGAAATAAATAAAATTAATAAATAAAATAAGTGTAATCTGTTCGGCAGCTTGTGCTCTTGCCATTGTGCGAATATTCTGTTCCACGGCATCGGCATACATACATGTACGTTGCAACTGTTGTGAGCCTGGATTCCGCTGCCACGACTTCCAAGCTCGTTGCTTTGCGGCGACAGCAGCATTGCACTCAGGTGTCCACCAAGTCGGATTCGATGGGCGTGCGGTAAGTTTTTTTGCTTGGGATGAACATTGCCATGCCCTGCTGAATTTGCTGAGTCAGGCGTGTGCACTGTGCAGGCCTCCTCTGGGTCATCCTGTAGAAGGGAATCCCAGTCTGAGGTGCGCAGGAATGCTCTCAGGCGGCTCCAGTCAGCAAGGTTGTAGCGCCACACACGCCTAGACGTGGGAAGCTCCCTAGCGGATGCTGCTGAGACAAAGGAACATAGTACAACCTGGTGGTCAGACTTTCCGAGGGGAGGTAACAGGGAGGTACGGGTTTCCGGATAGTCGGAAAGGATTAGATCTAGAGTATTGAGCCCACGAGTGGGAGCGGATACATGCTGGGTGAGCTGGTGCCCAACAGCCACCTCTTCCATGTACTCACCGGCTAAAGTTGTCTTCGTGCTTACAAGCCACCTGGCATTGTGCACATTGAAGTCCCCTGCGAGGATGGTGTGAGCAGCGCCGTGTCGCACAAGGTCGATTGTGGTGTCAAGTGTAAAGGGGATACAGTGAACTTCGCTAATAACGACTGCGGATATAACGACTATTCGCGAATAACGACATAATTTCCATGCCCAGAGCAAAGTCCCATCCAACTGTAATACATAATTATAATGAGACTTCGGGTATAACGACACTTTGTGAATAACGACACTTTTCTGATGCCCCGCCGAGTGTCGTTATAAGCGAAGTTGACTGTACACGTACTGGTAGGGATGGGCGTGCCATGCCCGGCATTGGGTTATTAAAACGTTCTAAAACACATGTACAAATGTACATGTACGTGTACTAGGGGTGTGCGGATAATGCTCGAAAAGCAGTGAAATTGGCAGAACCATACAAACCTTAGCGGGGGGGCTCGAATTCTGCTTCATTTCTTTATCCACATACCAAACATGCATGAAACTTACCAGAAAAAGTACCGAATTCTGCCAATTGTTCTGCCGGCATTATCCGCATATGCCTAACATGTACATCCATCTGAAAGTCTTAGGAAGTGCTTCAAAATGGCGACAATGTCAGTAAAGAAGATCAGGAAATATTGCGTAGATACAAAATGATTATGTACATGTACATGTACATGCATTTCGGGTATGCATGTTGACTGTTGAGTATGTATGTGCAGTATGCACGCCAGGGCGCGAAGTCAACACTTCGTCTCCGATCTCCCCTTGTTGACTGCACGTGACCCTTATACTGCACGTGACCCTTATACTGCACGTGACCCTTATGACAGACTTTATCATGTACAGTAACACACTGAGCTGAGCTCAGAACATCGCATGCTCTATTTATACCACTAAATACTATCAAAGTATCAAGGCTTTAATATCAAGCCCGCATTTTTCTGAGCTACATGTATTCCGTAGACAGACTGTGTGTGTCATTCTCCTTCGCAGCGTGCACGTGTGCCGCGTCGCCGCTTGACGTCTGTGATTTCATTGGTTGCCGAGATGCACTCGTCAACTCCCGGGTTCATGACCCCAAGTGGAAAGTGTCAAAAACCATGATTGTGAAGCTTTCGGTATAGTCTCAGACGGGGACCATGATGGAGATCACATAGGCAGTGATAGATGCGATAGATGCCGATACACAGTCATCATCGGCTGCTGGTGTAGATCTACATCACTTACATGATTGTACGTGTGGGCTCTACCAAGTACCATGATCACGTGTACTTGGTAGCTAGTGAATTTTCAGATACATGTACGAATAGAACACAAGTATTACTCTCTAGTGTTCTCAGTAAGTAGTTGGGAACGCGCCGTTTTGCGCTTGTGTAGATCTACCATACAATGTACAATGTATGCAGTATTGCATCTCGAGCAGGCAACGGCTATCCAATATTTGGCGCTCTCGCCTCTTCCAATGCCCTGTATGATTGCTTATGAGAACACCTTCTAACCAACAAGAGAATTAGGAGCTTGTTTTCGTGAGATCCTAGTGCCCCGTGGCACAACCCTCGTCACAGACACAAGCTCCTAATTCTCTTGTTGGTTAGAAGGTGTTCTTTATTCATCCGTCCCTGTTCTCGGGAGTTGTGTGATTATAGGAAAAATAGTGTGGAAAGTGAGTCGGACATGTATGGAAAAGTGTTGTATCGTGCTCTTTACAGTGGGTGCCCAATCGGGCAAAGCACAAACGAAAAGGGTGCCGTAAGTCAGTGCTGTCATGCAGCAACATTCTCCCCCCTGGTTACGAACCGTGGGAGAGTTAACATAAACATGCAAAAAAGAACAGAAGAAAAGCGAAGAAGACTGTATTAAAACCTAGCAACCATCGTGTTATTCGAGTAGAAATAAGGGTGGACGGTCCATGGACGCACGAAACAAGAAAAAGGAAAACAAGAAAAAAAGAGAAAAAAAAACAGCGCAGCTAGCTGCAGCTCAGAAGTGCGGGAGGCATGACAGCTCTACGACCGCACGTCCAGTACACAAATTTTCGCGGCGGGTCGGCGAAAAACGCTACCTGATGCGGTCTTGACGTCGACAACACGGACAACACCATCGCGGCCTGGATGGACAGCTGAGACGACACCTTTGGGCCAGGAACCCCGTGGTGCGTTGTCATCCGCGATAATGACAATGTCGTTTACGACGAGCTGCTTCGTTTGGCGGTTCCACTTTGTGCGGCGAGCGAGAGTTGGAAGGTACTCGCGAACCCAACGGCGCCAGAACATATCTGCAAGGGCTTGCGCAACGCGCCATTGGCGCCGCAGCGAGACATCTCCTGCCTGCGCGATTCCTTGAAGAATGGCACACGAGGAACCGATCAGGAAGTGGTTCGGAGTCAAGGCCTCGTCATCGGCGGCATCCAGACTGACATGTGTGAGAGGTCGACTGTTCACGAGTGCCTCTGCTTCTGCCAGTGCGGTCAGGAGGGTCTCCTCCTTGGGATGGCGCTCTTTGAGGATGGCGTGAAGTGCGGTCTTGATGGATCCAACGAGCCGCTCCCAGGCTCCGCCCATGTGGGGTGCCGCCGGCGGGTTGAACGACCATGTAATGCCGTCATGAGAAAGCTGGTCCTGGATGCGAGCTTCATTCAGCTCACGAATGGCCTGGCGGAGCTCTTTGGCGGCGCCTTTGAAGTTGGTTCCGTTGTCTGAGTGGATCACCAGTGGACAGCCTCGCCTGCTGATGAATCGCCGGATGGCCATCAGCGTTGAGTCTGTGGACAGGTCGTGCGCCAGCTCCACGTGAACGGCTCGGGTGGCGAGACAAGTGAAGAGAGCGCCGTACCGCTTCTCATGTCTGCGCCCAACAGTGACAGACAGCGGGCCGAAGTAGTCCAGTCCTGTCCGTGTGAAGGGTCGCTGAAAGGCGTCAGTGCGGCACTCTGGCAGGGCCGACATGATTGGTGGCTGCGGCTTGGCACGGAGATTCTTGCAATGCTGGCACTCGCTCCAGGTGCTTCTTACCGCTGTGCGGATACCGGGTACCCAGTACTTCTGACGCAGCTCGTTCACTACGCGATCCTGTCCTTGATGTAACGACCAGACATGGTGTTGCTGTATGAGCAGCCTAGTGAAGGCGTGCTTCGGCGGGAGCAAGACAGGTTGGCGCAGGTTCTTGTTTTCAACCTTTGCGTGCCGTACGCGGCTGTCGGAGCGCATGATGCCATTGTCGTCGATGAAGGGTGTCATCTGGACCAGGCGGCTGTCCTTGTTGACTGGCTTGCCATTGCGGAGCGCGGCGAGTTCTTCTGGGAAGCCTTCCGCTTGTGCAGCTTTCCACCAAAGACTCTCCGCGGCTCGTAGCTCGGGGACTGTCAGCGACGGCTTGGCAGTGTCTCTTCCTCCGTGTCTCAGGTGGCGAGTGAAGCGTAGCACCCAGGCGGTTGCTCTTACCAGGCGACACCAGCTTGAGAAGCGCTCGATCTCTGGTAGTGCTGAGTTCAGGCTGGGTGGCTCTGAGCTGTCTTCGGCTGCTGCGTGGACGCCACTGAACGCACGCTTCAGCTCGAGATCATCCGGGTCCGGCGTACGAGTCTCCTCGGCGGGCCAGTCTGCTTCGCCTTGCCTCAAATAGTCCGGGCCGCCAAACCAGCGATCGTCCGGCTGCAAGCGCTGGGCAGAGATGCCTCTGGAGAGGTCGTCGGCTGGGTTCAGTCTTGTCGGTACCCAGTGCCACTGATCTACTTCTGTTGTGTCTGTTATTTCCGCGATCCGGTGGGCCACAAATGGTTTGAATTGCCGGGCGTCCGAGCGTATCCACAACAGCACCGTTCTGGAGTCTGTCCAGAATATGACCCGTGGAATTGAAATACGCAGCTGCTCCCGTACGGTACAGGATAGGCGCGAGGCGAGGACCGCAGCCTGGAGTTCCAGACGGGGTATCGAGGCCGGTTTCAGTGGAGCAACGCGTGCCTTCGCTGCAACTAGGGACACTGCCAGCTGAGTACCGTGGTTCGCTACTCTCAAGTACGCAGCGGCGCCGTATGCTTTCTCGCTTGCGTCAGCGAACACGTGCAGCTGGATGTCTGTAGCGACTGCAATCAACGGTGTGTAGCACCGTGGCACTTCTACGGTGGCCACCTGATCTAGCTCTGCAGCCCAATCTGTCCATCTCAGTGCAAGAGATGCAGGGAGTTCATCATCCCAGCCTATGCCAGCTCTCCACACGTCTTGGAGAAGCATGCGTGCGATGATGGAGTGGCAGGACACCAGGCCGAGTGGGTCGAATACCGACATTGTGTGTCGCAGGACGCTTCGCTTCGTGACTGGTGCCTTTGGATCTGGCTTCGTGCCGCAGGAGAAGCCAAGAGTGTCCTTCGCAGGGTCCCATCGGAGGCCCAGGGTCTTCTCGATGGGGAGGTCGTGGCTGTGGACGTTCACGATTCTTGGTGACCTCAGATCTGATGGAAGGCTCTCGAGGACCGTCGGAGAGTTGCTCACCCAGTTACGGATCACAAACCCTCCCCCCTCGTGGACGTCCATCACCTTGCGAGTCAGTGCTACAGCTTCCTCGGTTGTTGGGGTGCTGTCGAAATAGTCGTCGACATAGTGGCACTCCTCTATGGCTGTCACGGTTCGCGCATCTCCGGAAGCCAAGTCGTGCGCATTGATGTTCTTCGCAAACTGGGCGGCGGTTGGTGAGCAGACTGCACCGAACGTCATCACGTCCATCTGGTACACATCAGCTGGTCTGCTTGCATCCATGTCGCGCCAGAGGAAGCGTTGTGCATGACGGTCTTCGGGACGCATCTTCACCTGGTGGAACATCTCCTTGATGTCTGCACCAAAGGCAACCTCATACAGTCGGAAGTTGTACAGAACTTGTGTGATCGGCGTCAGGAGGTCGGGGCCGGTGAGGAGGAAGTCGTTTAGAGACTTTCCATGCGACTTTGCCGCGGCGTCAAACACCAGTCGCACCTTGCCTTTCTCTTTGTTGTACACAGCAAAGTGTGGCAGGTACCATGTCCGCTCTGGCTGGTGGGTGGCCTCCTCAGGTGACAGCTTCCGGGCATACCCCTGTTCCAAATAGCTGTCGATCTTGCTCTGGTAGCCTTGTGCAAGCGTGTCATCCTTCCGCAGGCGCCTCTCCAGCTGCTCGAGACGCTGGGCAGCCGTTGCCTTGCTCCGTGGAAGGGTGATGTTGTCCTCCCGCCAGAGAAGCCCCGTTTGCCACCGGCGTCCGGTACGCGTGGTGAGAGTGTCTAGCAGCTGGAGTGCGCGGTCGTCAGCCTTGCTGCGGATTTTCGCAGGCTTGACCCCGAGGGAGTCTAGGGCGAACGACTGCTGGACCAGGTCATGGAGGTCGCTGTCGAGACCCCAGGTGGAGAGGACCACGCCTTCATCGATTCTGCAGCGGTCGGCGATCGTTTTGCCATGAACAACCCACCCTAGCTTGGTCTGTGTAGCTACGGGTGCGTTTGGAGGGCCCTCCGCGATCACCCGTGGTGCGATCAGGCTGTAATTATCCTGTCCGATTAGGAGTCTGGGCTTGGCACAAGACAGCGTTGGTAGTTCAAGTCCCTCCAGGTGGGGGCAGTTTTTCAGCCGTTGAGGGTTGATTGATTGTGTTGGCAGGTTGAACTTGGCATGAGTGTGGACGTTTGTCAAGGTGAAGCTGTCCTGTCTCTGCCTGCCAGCTACGCTGAATGTTACTACCTTGGAGCTGGACTCCTGGTGCTGCTTGCCATCCGTCCATGACAGCCTCAGGGGCCGCGTTGGTCCTGCAAGTCCAAGTTCCTCCGCCAGTTCGCTTTCAATCAAGGACACTGTTGAGCCTTCGTCCAGGAGTGCGTATGTATCAGCCGCTGTGTCTCCGTTTCGTACCGTGACCGGAATCACCCTCAGCAGCACCCTTCCACTGTGTTCCGACACGTGGGTTGCCGAGGTGTATGTCGTCTCTGACATGCGTCCTAGCGGTGCTACACTTCCGCGGCCATCGCGGTGTAGTAGCGGATGGTGGGGTTTGCCACACGAGCAGGCCTTCTCCTCGCATACCCTCGCCAGATGGCCTTCGCCAAGGCAGCGGAAGCACAGCCGTCTGTCACTAACGAACTGCCGACGGGCGTTAAGTGGCTCCGCGGCTAGCTGACGGCAGCTACTTGTGGTGTGCCCAGCTTTGCTGCAGAATAGGCAATGTGGCTTACCGGCGGTGGCCTCCACGACTGTGAACATTTGGCCTGTGCGTGGAGTGGCATGAGTGACGTCACATGGGCTCGGCTGAGCGACTAGGCATGCAGCCTTGGCCCTCTGTTGAAGCCAGGCAGAGAAGGTGTCCAGGTGCGGGTCTGTGCCGGTTTTAAGCACGTACTCTCCCCACTGGATCCGAAGCCCCCCAGACAGCTTGCCAACTAGCTCCTTGACCAATTGAGGGTTGTAGAGATGGCCGGTGCACTTTGTGCTTCGCATAGTGGCCACAAGGTTGCGGCACAGGGCGCTGATTTCAATCAGTACCTCGATGGCCTCCTCCGACTTCATGCCTCTCTGTGATTTCGTCTTCAGAATGAGATTCTGGACAATCTGGTCCGGGCGGCCGAACCTCATCCTCAAGATGGAGATGACCTCCCCTACATTGTCGGGGAGAGTCATCATCCCCTGTACAGCTTCCTTTGCCTTTCCGCGCAGCGCCTTTTGCAGTCGTCCAAGGTTCTCCCCGTTCGAGAATCCGCACTCTCTGGTCGTGTGCTCCAGGGCGAAGATGAATGCTGGCCACTCGTCAGCATGTCCAGAGAACTGAGGCAGGTCCTTGGCAGTGGACTGCCTTGCCATGAAATGGTGGGTGGTGAGATTCATGGGGTGTGACTGCCTTGCACTTGTAGGGGTAGGACGTGTGCCATTGGGCTCGTTCCCTGAAGCCCGCTCACCTTGGACTTGGTGGTCCAGTAACAGATCCTGGATTTGACCATTGGCTTCCTCAAGCGCTGCTCCCATGTTTCTCTCCGCGCGCTCGGCGCGCTGTGCGCGCTCAGCTAGGCTAATGCGATCCGCGCTTGTCAGCTCGGATCCGTTGCCGGTCTCCCGTGATCGACGGGACGAACTTGATCGGACGCTGGCATTACTGCTGCCGCTTGACCGGTTTCTGTTTAACTTCTTCTGGAGTTCTAGCTTCTTGCGGATCAGCTTTCGTTCTACTTCTGCAAGCTCCTCCGCGGCGATACGTTCCGCTTCCGCGTCGAGTTCGTCGATTGAGCGGAGCGAGCGCCGGCTGCTGCAAGACGTTGCTGATGAAGTGGTGAGTGAACGAGCGCTCATCGACCTGCTCCCGTTTTGGTACCCTGCGCTGGCTGCAGCAAGGCCTGCATTTTCGCCGATCTGCGCGTCGTTTGTGTACTGGACACGCTTTTGGTGTGCATGAGGCAAAAAAGGAACAGCGGGGGTCACAGAGCGCGTGTGAGTGTCATGCAAATCGGAACCTAAAAAGGACTGGCCAGCGTACGGCTGGTGAGGTGCTAAATCTACAGCAACATGATGTGGTGCGTGTACGGGATCATTGTTTGCATGCATTTGTGAGGTGCGTGTGTGCGAGTATGAAAACGGCCTACTTGTAGAGGAAGCATTACATGTTTCAAAATTGTTTTCATGACTTTCATGAACAAACTCGTTCGTGGAACTACTAACATTAGTATTACGAACAGCAGAACAAACAGGCATATAATTATTTGGTGTGTGGAGACCAGGACCTAACTGGTTGGTGCTTTCTCCAGCTCCACCTCGAGTGATTTCACTTAGCTCAGCCTCTTGTTCCGTCTTGACGATGTCAGCCATCTGCGTTGACTTGCCGGCGTCGTCCTGGGCTGCCGCTGCTGCTGCTGCGTTGTCGTCGTCTCCGAATCGCGTCGGTGCACGAGACAGACGGCCACTCCGTGTGGTGTACATAGGTTCGCTGTGGCGTCGATCCGCGACGCTCCTCAGCTCTCTGGTTGGTTCGAGTATGGCGATGCCGGACCCTCTCCGCAGAGAATCCGGCTCGAAGGACCAATGTTTTCGTGAGATCCTAGTGCCCCGTGGCACAACCCTCGTCACAGACACAAGCTCCTAATTCTCTTGTTGGTTAGAAGGTGTTCTTTATTCATCCGTCCCTGTTCTCGGGAGTTGTGTGATTATAGGAAAAATAGTGTGGAAAGTGAGTCGGACATGTATGGAAAAGTGTTGTATCGTGCTCTTTACAGTGGGTGCCCAATCGGGCAAAGCACAAACGAAAAGGGTGCCGTAAGTCAGTGCTGTCATGCAGCAACACTGACCTTTCATACAAACTTCCAGTCAACGTGCCCATCATGCTGGCGGTTTATACTGGGCATATAAACCTCATACAAACCCCATATAGACCACCACCATACAAACTCCTTTTTAGAGAGTGAGAATGTATGAAGGTCAGCACAAGTATAATACATCCCACCACTAGTAGTCTACACTTGTACATAATTAATTATATCATACAAACCTCGGCTTCGCCTCGGTTTGTATGTCGGTTTATATTTCACGTACAAGCGTACTGTTGGGGTCATATTGGCGTTTGTGGGATCCAAAGCTGGGGTGCGACACGCAACACACTTTGAAGTGTACAATGATGTACATGTACATTAACTTGATTAAGGTCTGGTTGCGATGGTCGATTCCGATTCGCAGAAGGATCACAACAATTATTGTCAATCCCCTAGTCCTCCCAGAAACCTCTCCGTGGCCTCCGTGTAGATCTACTCTTATCGAAGATGATAACAGTAATTCTCGCTTGAGGATAATACTGATCAATGCTGTGTGTTATACGCATTGGTATTACCCTGTGTGGAACCAGTCAGTGACACAGAACGACACTTTAGCCTGTAGGCATGCGGGTGATCCCAAGCTTACAATACATCTATAATCCTTGAACACCAATGCTTCTTGATTGCATAATGCTGTAGCGGGCCGCAGTCTCTCTCGGAGGCAAATGCACACGGGTCTCAGTGAACACACTGTAACTGGCAATTGAAATGTACTGGCAACGAAATTAACTGACTGGCAACTAAATTAACTAACTGGAAAACTAAATTAACTGACTGGCTACTAAATTAACTGACTGGCAATAAAAGAATCGTGAGCAGCAGCTTTTATGCAAAGGCAGACTCCGTACGCTAATGTACGGGGATACGCTAACGTCTGGGGATACAGTACGGGGATATGCTAACGTACGGGAATACAGTAACGTACGGGGATATGCTAACGTACGGGAATACAGTAACGTACGGGAATATACTAACGTACGGGAATACGCTATACGCTACAATGCCATTATAAATGCTGTCGTTAGATAATACAGTTGTCCCTCCGTACCGTGTGCATAATGAAGTCACAACTGTCATATCTACAATTCACACATGAATGGTTTTGGAGTGTGTGCCGGGTTTTGCTTACCGCAATCGAGCAGGTAGTTTTCCGGCCTCACAATGCACCAGGTCATTTGCCGCCCCCCCCCCCCCCCAAATTCTCACCCTGCTGATCGTGTATCGTACTATCGACATGACTATGACTCTGTGTACAGAGTAATCACGAGTCACGACACAACTTCACAAGTGTTGAATCCTCACACTCTCAGTGCGAAGTAAAAATGTACATGTAACACGACACCAGCGTGTGGTACAAGATGAACCGTGGCAGACTCGAAGAAGATGAAGCCATCCGACAAATTCGTTTATGTGGAATCGCTTATTTGCCATTCGAAGCGTATCCTAAATCATGGTGTGCAGTCTCCACTGCATTGAAGCGTATCACTAGCGTCGATAAGAGTTACATTGCCCAAGGCGAACTAGCTAGTTCCAAAGTTGATAAGTGGTTTACCTGTTTTGGAGCCTGCGGGGCGCGCGATGGCCAGTGTGCGATCGGATATCAGCGAAAATACCAGAGAGACAGAGAGTTTCACTCATGTCATTTGGTGGCCGTGGAGGAGCACGAATTTCGTGTACGAACTCACTAACTGCATGCTATCAGACTGCACGCTGCTATGATAACACGTGTAGATGTATGACAGTTACTTGTTACCTAGCCAGCCTACGGGTGCACAGGGGAAACAAATTGCCTTATGAACATGGCGACAGTGCACTGTGGAGCAGAGGGAAGTCACAGAGTTGAGCACTAAGTGGCCACATCACACACTCAGACACAGTGACAAACCAGGATATGAATCATCTACTGGCTTCAAATTCGAAGACAGAAGAAGAAAACCTCTTCAGCTACTGGCGCAGTGATTTTCACCCCATGCTGACAGATGAATCATAATAATTAACGTCTGCAGGTTTATTGCTCTGGACACTTCTCTTCAAATATTCGAAATTTTATATGATCAATTATGCACTTGGCATGATTCAAAGTATGCAGCATGGAATTCTGCAAATTCAGCGAAGTTTAAAAAAAATTGGACTGTGCCAAAATGAATGGGATGTTTGGACTTGAAAGCGTAGCACTGGCGTGATATTTAAATTGACAAAAGTATCGAGACTCAAAAGTAACAAGAAAATGGTATCGGGTCAATACCATCTAACTTCTCTATTGGAGGATTAAGGTTCATAGTACTCTCTGAAAATAGTCTGGTTGAAACAAAACAATCATCTTTCTTTGTTCATCAAAAACGAATACAGATCACAAATATGTTTTGCATGGTTGGGCATCTGCGTACTTGAAAAAAGGATTCATATCGCACTACATGACACTATTCCGTATGCATAGCCTGGCGAAGAAGGCCTTCAAGTTCAACATTCTCTGAAAGTTCAATAGCGAATTTACCTTCATCGCTGAGCACGGTTGCACTAGCGCCGTGGGATAGGAGTGTACGTGTAATCTCAAGGTTGCCAATAGCCGAAGCAGCATGGAGTGGCGTCCAACCGTCCGCATCCTTAGCATTGATGTCCGATCGGCCATCTTCCAGCAGTTGTAAGAGGATGGTGGTAGCTTCCTCGAGCACTGCTTGATGCACGGCGGTCACCCCACTAATCTCGGCCAGGTTGAGGCCCAGCTCAGTCGAGTCGAAATCACCGAGAAGCTGCTCCACCTCCCGTGAGTTACTGTTCAGTATGGCGTGCCTCAGCAAGATGTTCGGAGAGAAACGTACCGATCGTGATGATGACTTTGGCCCTTCCGCTGTTGAGGGCGCTGCTGTGTCTCCTGGTACTGCTGCTGCTGTGTCTTCTGCTGTTGATGGTGCTGCTGGTTCTTCCACTACTGCTGCTGCTACTGCTACTTCGATGTTTGTCTCTGCTGTTTCTGGTGCCATCGTTGCTGCGGCCGCTACCATTTCCCCTGCACGGACACTCTGATCATTGCTTTCTTGTGCAGGGATGCTGGCGACCTGATGTGCTGCTGCATCACTTTCTGCATCACCTTCTACAAAGTCAACTAGCCCCATGGCAAGGGCCTTCTCCTCATCTGTTGGATTGGCAGTTGGCAAGTCTGCAGCATCGCCACCAGTACTAGCAGCAGTCTCATCATTGTTGTCGTCATCGTCGTCATCATCATCATCAGATGCCTCGTCTTCACTAACCAGTAATGAGCTACTGCGCCTAACTGGTGAGCCGTGGGTTTCATCATCTTCTTCAGTATCAGATTCCTCACCACTTTGGCTTCCACCCTCGCTATCGTCATCGGAAATGTCCGACTCCTCGTCGCAGTCCTCATCCAGGAGTGTTGCGCTTTCCTGCCATGCCCGACGTTGCTTGGCAGCCTTGCTCATGATGTCACGACTGGCATTCTGCAGCACCAGGCGAACGTTAGCATTGCTAGCCAGCATGAGCGGAGTGCGACCATCGTTGGTGGTTGCCAACGGGTTGCTATGGTACTCCAGCAGCAGGTTTGCGATGGGCACGGTGCCTTCCAGAGCGGCAGCGTGCAGCGGTGTCCAATCGTCTGTGTCGCGGCCGTTCACGTCAGCTCCCTGCGCGATGAGAAACTGTACGATGCCACGCTGCCGATTCAACACGGCTAGATGCAGAGGCAACAGTCCTGACGGCAGCATGGTTGTCACAGCTATCCGCGATGACGAGAACAGTCTCTCCACTTCGTCTACATCCCCACGCTGCACTGCATCTTCTAAGACAACATGCGGCACAAACTTAACCTGTCGGCGACGACGAGAGGCCAGTGAGCCTCGCTTCAGAGATCCGGTTGCTGCGACAGGGCCGCCAGTATTGAGAGATGAATGGCGAAGTATTGACCTGTGTGCCGTGTGGTGTTGTGTCCTTCCCTTCGGTAGGACCCAGCCGAAATCAGACTCACTCACCGTATCCCCTCTGGTCACCCCGTGACTGGGTGAGCTAGACCTAGCCTCTGCCGTCCTTGCCGTTGCCTGTGCAACCTTTACACGACATATCACGTCCGAATGGCTCTTGTTCACGATCTGGAAGCCCTTGAAGATGATCCGTCTGTGAGTGTCAGACCAGATATGAATGTCTTCTTCATCCTGCAATGCCACCGCAGTTTGGGACTCGGTCTGATGAAGGTTGCGTGATGTTGACGTACGGTGATCAGGTGGGCATACCGGGGCAAAGCGGAATTCCTGGGAAACGGGACTGCTGGCGTCCTCGCATGATTGTGAGCTCAGGCGCTGCCACATGCGTACACCGTCAGCCAGGCTGAGTGCTGTGGACGACAATGTAAGCACTTCCGTTGGTGAAGGAGTCTCCACAACAAGCCTTCTGTTTCTGCTGCTAGTAGTAGTTGCAGTACTGTTGGTCGCTGCAAGCTTGGCATCTGCACTTTCACTATCCTCACATGCCACTCCAGTTGTGCCACGTGCTGCGGCTGTTGATTCAGCAGTACAAGCAGTGCGGTGATGTAACAGAGTGAGATCATGATCTATGGGGTTGGCATTGTCTGAAGTACACTCTCCGCAGCTTACAGGCACAAGTCTTTCCCTCTGCAGTTCACAGGCTGCGACTTGTGACCGCCAAGTACCCAGACAGGGCATTGGGCAGGAACTGGGCTGCCTTGATGACTCAGCCGCTGCCTCTGCAGAGCTGTCATTTGCATAGGGTAACTGCTGGTCTTTAGGATCAGGAGTAGTAGTACGGCTACTGGCACTGCATTCATCGTCTTCCCAAGTACAGCTCATCAAGGACAAGACACCGTCTTCATCCTCACTGAATGATCCCACAGATGATGTCCCAGTGCCGTAGTCTGAATCTTCCGCTTCCGAAAAATCACATGCCAAACCAGCGCGGTGTTGCGCATACCCTGCCAGCGACATTGCACTCAGTAACAAATCCTCCATGCCACAATCCTCCGTGCGATCGATGGGCAGAAGGCCTTCAGCATCCGTCGCCGTTGGATTTGCACCCTCTTTCAGCAGCCATCCAGCAATCAAGCAGTTTCCAACCATTGCAGCTGTATGCAATAGTGTACAGCCCTCTTCATCACGTGCATTAACGTCCCCACCAGCTTCGATCAGCGCAGACAACACTGGAACGGATTTGGTGAAGATGGCCTGATGCAGCACAGTCAAGCCCTCCGAGTCCAGGGTCGAGAGGATTGATTTTCTGTAGGCCAGCCTGTCCGCGTGTTCCTCTTCCTGCAGAACACTGGGCGTTGAGATAGTACTGCTACTGGGTAAGTCGAGCATGGTTCGAAGGCTTTCCACGCTCTTAGCCAGTACTGCCTGACGCAGACTTTCGAAGCATCCCGCACCACCACCAGAAGCAGGGGCAGCAGCATCCACCTTCGCCTCACCATCGTACTCACTCCCACGGCTAGACGCCGTAGAATCCAAGGACACATTACACTGCTCGTGGCCTTGGCATGACACAGCGCTTGCTACCAAGGCGTTGCGCTGCAGCTGTTGCGGCTCCATTGCCAAAACTTCTCACTGCTGCACACAAACACCCACCAGTCCAACACTCGTTCCGACACACACAACGACCACGAAAGTCGTGCAGTGCAGTGCAACGCTGCAAAAGAAATGAAACTGCTCCTGAGCGTGGCAAGTGTTTTGACGAATTATCACCAGCAACAGTTGTACGGTGTACGATGCTGGTAGCGCAGCCTGTCCAAACTCAACGGAAATCGACGGTTAGCGGTAGAGCCTTGGTACGGCACTTGTTGAAACTGCGCTGCTATCGAGGTGGGGACCGGCAACGATCACTAGCGAGCAGTCCAGCTGACGCCAGCGCAAAACTAACGTATTAGCAGCGGGACTGATTAGCTGAGCAGCGCGAACTAGCGGCCAAGCTGCAGGCTAAAAACATCTAGCCAAGAGCAGAGTGACTAGTGGTACTGATAGTACGTGGACCTACCGCACTTGCGAATTGCCTCACCTTTCTACAGCTACTCGTACAAATGAAAAGGCGCTTGCGAAATCTGCGGCCGCGCAGAGCGTTGCATCAGAGAGAGAGAGAGAGCTAGAGAGGGCAACGCGTTGGTTTTGACTTCCTGGCAGAGTGCGGTAACGGGGTACGCTTGACAGGGTTCTATCCTGGGACTAGAAATGGGCAGCACACTTCACGTTCACAATCATAGCTAGCCTTGGAGCGTTGGAAGCGTTGTACCTCGCTCTAGCTCTGCAAACAGCACTGAACTGACTGAGTATATTATGGCAGGGCTAAAGCGCTGACTTTCAATCTGTAAGTGCGAAATGCGAGCAAGAGGAGGGAGGGCCTCCGCCAACAGATACAGCCACACTGCCACACACCACAGACAGCGAACACTATAGTGTATAGTATACAGTGCTTGTGTCACATTTACTGACTCGCTGGAAACGCTCCTCTTTGGGACTCTCCACACGCGGCGGCCTCACCAAGCCGAGGCTAACAGGGTCCCTGTTCAAGCAATAGTTGCTGGGGCTCGTATCCAAATTTGCAGGTCTGCTTGCCTGGGGAAATCAAATTAGTGGTTTTTGTTTTCGAGCGATACTTGGCAGCGCTGAGAGGCTCTTTTTTTTTTTTTTTTTTTTTTATTTACTTGAAAAAGCACATAACCACCAGGAAGGCTGACAAAGAAAAAAGAGTAAGAAAAGACAGATAAAAAGAGCGCTGAGAGAGAGAGAGTTGGGGTACGGTTAGGGGAGGACTAGACATTGAATGGTGGTCGCCACAGTCACAGATAGTAGCAGTGCTGGTGAGGCTACAGGCACTCCACTGACCATTAGGTCTCAGTATCGCCATGCCGGTAACGCACCAAGAGACAAAAACGGAAGAAAATCTGAAGCGCAATACATGAATGGTAATTACAATATAGGTAATAGGGAGAGTGGTGACCAAGAGAGGACAGTATAGACCGTTAGTACTTGAAACAGAGGAGTATGAGAGGGAAAACGGAGGGCACTCGGCCGTAGGTGTCGGGTTTGTTCAGGGCAGAGTACAGTGCATCGACTACAAAGTACAAACACTATCTCAGAGTCTGCCCAAAGTAAAGACAATACGGTCTGTCTTTATAACCCCACCACCGCATTACCGATCGTAAATAGCGGGTCCTCATAATGGAGATTGCACTGAAGATTCGTATCGCTAAGCACACGCATGGCGCGTGGTCCGTGTATTTGCAGGCGTATGTTGTGTATATGTGCGGAATAGATCTACATGTACATGACATTGTTTACAGTACGGACTGTCACTTTCCGTATCACATGTATCGCAAAGCCATACCCAGGTCTTGGAGTGTCCAGGCACCTAGGCCAGGCGTGTTGGCTTTGTGAAACTGGAAACACATGGTTAAATTGCCACCCTGATCACTTCTCGGTCGAACCCTGTGGCCTAGGATTTTTCTACTCAAACTGTCCTTGCACAAATCATAGCTGAGTAGCGGAATCATCGACTGAGCAACATTCTGGTCACATCCGACCTGCATTATGCACACCCCGGGTCACCCAGGACAGTACAGTGCCGTTTTAAATTCTCATTCATTTTCACCTATCACTCCGCTCTGGGCTAATGCTATCCGTAATAGGACCTTTGTCCGTTCCATGGGGTAATATTCATTCAATTTTACTTCAAACTGCGATTTGGCACTTGTTAGGGTGGTGTATCGACATGTCCAGGTCTTGGGCATATTGCATGATAGGAAAATGTCCAGCGCCAAACGTTCTATTCTATTTTAAAAAATTGGTTCTATTTGGAAGCTCCTCGTTCACTGTCATGCAGTCCACGTCTGTGTGAAATTACCAGCCCACATTCGCCCAAAGTCTTTAACTACGCTCTGGCGCAAAACTATACTCGTAATACAGGCGCGAGGTCGTTCAAGAACAATAAAGACAACCCACGCCATGGATAGTCCAGGGAATGATCCACATAAATGGTCTGGGTCATTCGTACGGGCCAGGACTTGTACACAATTAGTCAGCACACTTGCAGTGAATTCATCTGCACTACACTGACTGAGAGTGAGAGCCCAGTCTAGGATCATCAAGAATAGGCAGAGCTTTGGTGCGACCCTAGGCCCTGTGTCAAGCAAGTCGAGCACAACGCGTCATCACCATGCACCAGCACTTATTACCTAAGCAATGGCATTACCTCAGGCAATAGTGTTTGCGCTATCGCGCCTCATGGTGTATTACGTAATTGCCTTATAAGCAACCCATTATGGGATCTCTTTGGCCAGATCGTATTGCTGCTGTAAGCAATACCTTGCAGGCAAAGCTGAACGATCACTATCGATATGGAGTGTTGCAGTGAGGTGTGGCAAGACCTGTGTATAGCCCATTACTATGGCATTAGCTCAACAAATAATTGGAGTACTACTACTAGTGGTCGGAGCCTAGCTTGAGCGTAGCAAATTTGAAGAACATGAAGTGATGAAGTTCGCTAATTTTTGATTATCTCAAGAGTACTCAGTAAATAAGCAGGGAGCTGACATGTACATGTATGTAGTCTTAGTAATGTACATGTAATGTGATGTCTACTCTATTGTGTGTGTGTTTGGTGTGCATATGATTGTCATGCTTGCGTCCACCCACACCACATGCACATGCATAGACGTACACATACTTCAAGTAGCGCCACACCTAATATTAATAATACTTACTACGTCTGAACATGCATCTCTTTTCACCTCATTTCACAGTCATTCTGGCTATCCACTACGACAAGTCATGATTAACAATTCACAATAATGTTTATGCTGTATGGGTAACGTCACGTCATGTTCACACTGCGGAGTGCGGACTGCCGACTAGACTAGTACGTACTGAACTGAAGTAGCGTACTCACAATGTTTGTTTGTTTGTTAGTATCGTGAACAACACAACATTCCTGTGCGTGTGACTGTGCGTGTGACTGTGTGTTTATCCCAAGTAAGGTTCTAGAAAGGTTTTGTTGAGACCTTCCACGCGTGGCGGTGACTTGTACTGGGTACTTCGTATACATGTATTGTCTTTACTAGCTTGATAGCGTCGAAATTGGTCTTTATCGCGCTCATGAATGTCTTATTATCTAAGCATGTCATTGTGTAAGGGGTGACCTCTACCGCCTGACATACTGCTGCTTGCATCACATTTTAAACTACATGTACGTACTTGACATTTACATTTACATGTAAATGTCATTGTACATTAGTATACCTGAAGTAATTATTATAATGTACATGAACAGCAATGCTGTGATGGCGTACAGGTTTCACAGGTACTGTTCTATCCATCTACAGTGTATTGTACAGTAGCAATTTGCAGTGTCAGCGTGGCCGGTAGAACCATGCGGAGGTCATTACAGCGACGGCTGACAAACCAACTACAATCGCTCGATGACGGCTTATTATCCTTTCCTAGAGTGTGAGGGGCTGGACATATTGCACACTAAGAGCATGATGACCGGGAGTTATCAATTACGTTCTGTTTTTCCAACGCGCGATCGTAGCTAACTCGCTAATAATGTAGTTTGAAAGCTGTCATTTTCCAGCATCGTGCAAGTGTACATGTACATGTAGCAAGCGCAAGGTTAAGTAGAAAATTACTCAACAGATAGTGATCATTACCGTCGAAATTATCCAGGAAATGACCTCTGGAGCCCGCCTCGCATGTTCGCACTTATGTTCGAGAAACATTCCACGAAGAAGGTTGTTACATGTACATGTACATGTACATCACTGAACATAAGGATGTACACGTATTCGTGTTCACTTTGTTGAAAAGGAAACCAAGGCACTAAAGATGGTGCGTCACGCTGGGCACACGCGTTCAATACCTTCTTGGGGTTTTCTCCCTCTTCGCCTAGTGCTCTTGTTCAGGTGTGATTTCATGGTAACAGCAAGTACCGTCTAGACTTGACCCAATCTCTATCTTACCTATGTCTGCCTATATGTTGTGCCCGTGTAACAGTGCATGTCTTCGGGCTGTTTGGGTTCTATACTATACTATAGCGTTCAGAACGGGAATGCTTCAAAAAAATAATTGAAAGGAAAAGTGGACGCAGTGGCTACTGTAAATGTATCAACACTGGAGGTAGTGGAGGTGTTTTTCAAACGAACTCCTTGAGATATAGCGGCAGATGTGTTTCATTGTGTGCGAGTGTGGTGTGTTTCTTGTTGATTTCCACAGGGTGATAGTGTATGCTAGTATAGATGTGTCTGCCATGCTGTGTCGACGTTTTCCGCCCACTGTTCACGATACAGCTGCAGCCAGATACAGGTAAAGCCTCTTTCGGACATGTAAATGTACTGTGTGTATGAATGGCGTAAGAAGCCTCCGACAACTGGAGCAACAGACACAAAGCCTTCAAAGGACCCATTGCTGCATGTACATGCACGGTGTAAATACTAAAATCTAAATGGGTTTGCAACGTACGTTACTCCAACCTTTCTTTGCCTCTAACAGTTTTCTGCGCCATGTAATCGATTGTGCAAGTACTGTAGCTGTGTCGGCTTCAACTGAATCACGTGACTAAGAGAAGGAGATCTGGGGAAAGAAATAATAATTATTTGAACTTACGCCAATTGCGGACACTTTTGATGTAAAGCTGAATGGCACACGCGCCCAGACGCATAATCATGGCCATGAATGGCAAACTGACTATGCAGTGTCAGCGATTTCTCAGACGGCTTCAGAACTGGGAATGACAGTTGCAATGGCTCATGAAAAGCTGGATTACTGTAAGTGTTACATGAATGTCTCTACAAGGGCTGGACAATTGCTACTACTTGGCCACATTGAATTAGTACAGAACATTGACATTGTATCGACTGGCGTAGGCTTTTATTGACTGTGGATTCACTTTACTGCACTGCATCGCGTTTGTGAAGATTTTCACTTCTGGGATCTTTGAACCGGATGTTGATCCTACAGTAGCTAGACTGGGGTGATTTTGCCCGCAATGAGCCACGCTGTCGCTTGCACGTCAGATCGTTTCACAGGACATAACGTCATAATAAGCTACTGAGGAAGACGTGGTTGTGCGCAATGTTGATACAGTGAGCATCACAAAGACGCAAGTGATCCCCTCGACCAGGGCTCGCCGACCATCTCTGTCCAACAGCGGAATTCACGTGGTCTAGTAAGAAGTACAGGTAGATGGGTAGACAGGTAGAGCGGTACAAAACTACAATGTATAGAAGTAGAGTGCTTTCCAATAATTATAGTGCAAGTAAAAAAAGTGCAGTAATTATATTATCTGTTCCAAAAACATTCCAGACACAATGAATTCCTGCTTCCCTTTCTTATGATCCGGATCTTTGCTCTATGATCTAGCAGTCAAACTGGCATACCCCCGATATG